GACAGATGAGGAAACTGAGGCCTGGGAAAGCTAAGCAACTTGCCCAGGTCACAAGTAGACAGGATTTGAACCAAATCCTCCAGTGCCACAGTCAGAATTAGAGGAAGTTACAAAACTGAGCTGCCTGGTCCCATTAAAAATATGTGTTATGTAACTCTGAGGTACCACCTCACACCTATCAGATTGGCTAATATGAGAAAAAAGGAAAATGATAAATATTGGAGGGGATGTAGGAAAACTGGGACACTAATGCATTACTGGTGGAGTTGTGAACTGATCCAACCATTCTGGGGAACAATTTGGAACTATGCCCCAAGGGCTATAAAACTGTGCATACCCTTTGATCCAGCCATACCACTACTAGGTCTATATCTCAAAGACACAAAAAAATGGGAGGGAAGGGAAAGGGCCTATTTGTACAAAAATATTTATAGCAGCTCTTTTTGTGGTGGCAAAGAACTGGAAGTTGAGGGGATCTCCATCAATTGGGGAATGGCTGAACAAGTTGTGGTACATGATTGTGATGGAACACTGTTGTGCTATAAGAAATAACAAGCAGGATGATTTCAGAAAAACCTGAGAAGACTTACACGAACTGATGCAAAGTGTAGGAAGCAGAATCAGGAGAACGTTGTACCCAGTTAACAGCAATATTACGTGATGAAGAACTGTGAATGACTTAGCTATTCTCAGCAATACAATGATCCAAGACAATCCCAAAGGACTAATGATGAAGCTTACTATCTGCCTCCAGAGAAAGAATTGATATTGTCTGAATACAGACCGAAGCATGCTATTTTTCTCTTCCTTCCTCTTTTATCTTTCTTTCTTTCTTTCTTTCTTTCTTTCTTTCTTTCTTTCTTTCTTTCTTTCTTTCTTTCTTTCTGTCTTCCTTCCTTCCTTCCTTCCTTTCTTTTTCTTTCTCTCTTTCTTTCTTTCTTTCTTTCTTTCTTTCTTTCTTTTTGAGTCTTCTTGTATAAAATGACTAATATGGAAATGTTTTACATGATTGCACATATATAACCTCTATCTGATTGCTTACTGTCTCAGGGAAAGGGGAGGGGAGAGAAGGAGGGAGGGATAGAATTTGGAGATCAAAACTTTAAAAAATGTTCAAAATTGTTTTAACATGTAATTGAGGAAAAATAAAAGATTATATATTGGAAAAAATGTGTTATCTCATCCCAACTATGAGATGCAGCCAGGCAATTCTTTTACTCCAGTCCATCCTCTTCTCAGATGCCAAAGTGAGTCATATCAGGTCACTGCTCTCACTCAATAAACACCAGTGGTTCCTTATTACCTCTAAGATAAAATATGACAGCCTCTGTTGGGTATTTGAAACTCTTTCCAATTTGGCCACTTTCTACCTTTCCAATCTTCTTACACATCACTACTGTCCATGAATTCTGTGATCCAGTAATCCTGGTCTACTCATATTCTCGCATACATAACAGTCCATTTCCTACCTCCACACCTTTGCACTGGCTCCACCTCCTGCCTCCAAAGTACTTTTTCTTCTCTCTTTGTATCTCTGCTTCTTGAAATCTCTGGTTTTCTTCAAGATGAAGCTAGAGCATCCTTCCCAAAATTTCCTTGTGTTCATTTTGTATTTATTATACAAATACGAGGGGGTGTGTGTATTTCCCTCTCCCTAAAGAGTGGGAGCTCTCAAAGGCAGAAATAATTTCATTTTTGTGTTTGACTTCATTTCTTAGCAAAGTGTCTGGTACACGACAAGCACTTAATACTCTTAATTTTCCAGCAGGAACTGTGTTTGGTTTTGACTCTGCCAGCATCATGCCACCCTCTGGATATGCTCATCATTTGAAATCTCATCATCTTGCTTTTCAGCACCCCCCCCAGTGACCTCTCCCTTTTGATTGGAGGGCTGGAGGGCGGAGCAGTAAACCCCTCCCACAGCCTTCCTTTATAGAGGGCTCAGAACTTTCTAGAGAACTTCACTCAAGCATCTAGTCCTGGCCTGGGCGGGGTGGGGCTGGGTACCCCTTGATCCTTCCTTCCCACTTTTTCAGCTCCCTTTTATTTATCATCTCCTCTCTCCCCAGTTAGATTATAGCTCCCAGAAGGCAGAGACTGTCTTTCTTTGTTTTGTTGGTATCTGCAGAGCTTAGCACAGTGCCTGGTACATAGTAAATAATTAATGTTTGTTGACTACTGAATAAATGCTTTTTGACCAATGGCTTGCCAGATCCTGATACTGAGTATTTTTATTTTTGTTTTGTCTGAAAGCACGGGGTTTGGGGATTACTGAATCCACCATTCTCATTTTTCCACTTTTCTCATTTTCATTCTGTAGGTGTGTTTAATTTCAATATTTGTCTCTTGCATAAACCTGATCTTTGGGTTTGTTTTCTTATCCTTTCTGTCTCTAGCTCGTTTTATTAAGTTATCTATAATCCTTCGACATTCAAAGTTATAATTCTTAGACTTGTATTTATTTGTTCAGTATTTTTTTTTAAATCTCTTTCCCTTAAGTCTGAATTTTATACCTGTCATTTGTTTTGGTTAAATTATTTTAATGCTAGTATGATCCCAGTGGTTCTCCTCCTTCCCCGCTCTTGTTTGCCTCCCGGTCCCCAAGTTCTTTGATTTTGGGTAAAATGTTTTTTCCCTTGTTTTTATTTAATGATCTGTTTCCCCTGCTCTTATCTTTCCCCACTAAGTAAAGAGATCAGTTGAAAATCTTCTCTCCCCACCAACTTATTTTTAATAATACTCTTTTAATTTTATAGCATCTCTATTTGGCATTCAAAGCTCCGGGGTTCCCTGTCCCAGTCCCACTCCCACCCTGAAACATTCCAGTCTTCTCATACCATACTCTCCCCAAGGAGACTGTTCTGTGATACAAGGATAATGATGTCCTTTCTTTTCCTCACCCAAGACAACTTCATCTTCCAATTCCAGGCATTTTCAATGGCTGTGGCACTCTGCCTCTCATCTGTGTCCCCGGCTAACCCTGGGCTTCCTTGAAATCCCAGCTAAAATCCCCCCTTCTTCTACAAGAAGCCTTTTCTGAGCCCTCTGAGCTCTAACGCCTCCCCTTCCATCTGCTGATTGTCCCCAGTTGATCCTGTCTGCATCTTGTTTGTACATGGTTGTTTGCATGTTGCCTTCATAGTTACATGGGTGCTTGTTTTCTACCTCCCCCTCCCTCTCACGCCCTCCCCATCATATGCAAGGCGGGGAGAATTTAATTTTTTTCTTCACATTATCATTGCTTAGCAAAGCGTCTGGCACATGGCGAGCACTTAATGAATAACTATTTTTCATCTGAGACGATGCTTGGTTTCAACTCCAGGAACGTGATGTCTCCTCCTGGAAAAGCTCATCACATTCAGACTATGAACTCTGAGAACAGGGATGATCTTTTGGCTTTTTTTGTATCCCCAGCACTTAGCACAGTGCCTGGCACATTTGTTGTTGTTCAGTTGTGTCTGATTTTCATGACTCTCTATGGGTTTTCCTTGGCAAAGATACTGAAATGGTTTGCCATTTCCTTCTCTAGTGAATGAAGGCAAATGGAGGTTAAGTGACCTGCCCAAGGTCACACAGCTGGTGAGTATGTGAAACTGGATTTGAATTTAGGCCTTCCTGACTCCAGACCCAGTGCTCCATTCACTGAGCCATCTGGCTGCCTCCATAGCTGGCACATAGTAAGTGCTTAATAAATGTTTATTGACTGACTGACCCTTTTCTAAGATTTGTTCTCTTCTCCTAATTGTTTTTCTTCCCTTCCCAGGATAGTCTGAAATTTGCCTATCCTTTTTTATTTTTCTTTATTATTTGTTTCCCTCAAAAGGATAAAGATTCTACAGGATCAGGCTTGAGCCCCCTCCTCTGATTTCTGTTTTTTTGACTTTGTAAACACTTGCTTCATGTTCCTTCACTTTTAGAAATATCCATTTGTGAAGGGGATGATTTAGGAGAGAAGCAATGCCGTGTGGCAGAAGGGACTCTGCTCCCCAAATCCTGGAGCCCTGAGTCACTGTGGCCGGCTGCAGTGAGGGTGGCTACCTTTGGGCAGAGGACCCACGCATAAGCCTGGTACTTGCTGCTGAAGACACATGGTGGCTGGTGGGAGAGGGTCCCGAGTGAAACTCTAAGTATTAAAGCTTTCAGCTGAATCAGAAATTGAATTGAGCTATCTACAGGGGTTAACCGGAGAAGCAAAGTCGCCTAAGAGGATTCCAGGGACTTGATGACTCAGTATCTGGCCATCTTCAATATAATTCAACACATTTATTAAGAACCTGCTTTGTGAAGGTTACTGTGTTGGGCATTAGGGGAGATAGAAAACTGAGCTGAGAAACACTTCCTGCCTTCACAGAGCTTGCAATCTTATAGCTAACAATGGCTGGCGTCGTTTACAAGGGTTTTTCCTTCCAGTATGTTGTTTGATAAGAATTTCCCAGGGATGCTCCATGACTTTGAATCCTAGAATATCACATTTTGAGAGAAAAAAAAGACACATGCCCCACCCCCCAAGAAATAAGGACGAAAGGGCAATGGAAAATCTTATAATTATTGTTACTATTCATAATACCAGTGAGCATCTAGATAACATTTTCCAAACATCTCAAAGAAACATAAAGAACATAAGCCAGGGAAGGGATCCTACAACGGCTCTCAGGAGCTATGGGAAAGGCTCCCAGGGCCCCAGATAGCTCCCGTCCAGAAGATTAATGGGATGGCATGGGTGAGAATTTCTTACTGAGAGGAACGCGGCATGGCAAGGTCTCAGAGGTCACAGTTCTATCCCAACATATCCTGGTCCGATCCTGAGGGTCCCGAGGAAGCTCGCCACAAATGCCACTGCCACCGCTTGGACACTAGCACGGAGCGCTCTGTGCCCGCTCCGCAGTCTTTTATAATTGCACAAGTTCTGGGCACAGCAGGCAATGTACAGTAAGTCCTCTCTGCCTCTTCCATGGAAGTCCTCCATAAACGGGCACGTTTCTGAACAGTACTTGATCACGTTGTTCTGGTTTCCCTCTTTTTGAATGTTAAGAGGGAAAAGGAAAAAACAGAAACTCATCCTTAGAATGCCACTGTTTTCACACAGGGTGACCAATCTGCTTTGATTTGTATAAAACCTTTTCTGGGTCACTTTCTAGTATAATGTTCCTGAAAGGAGAGGCTAACAGTCTGCTCTACCTAAAACATACCCAGGCTGAGCACTCCAGACTTTAAGAACACCAGAGCCGGGAAGGACTTTCTAATAAAGAATTTTAGAACACAGAAAGTCAGAGCTAAGAAGGACCTTAGAACATGGACTGTCAGGGCTGGGAGGGACATTAGAACACAGACTGTCAGGGCTGGGAGGGACCTTAGAACATAGAATGTCAGGGCTGGGAGGGACCTTAGAACACAGAATGACAAGGCTGGGAGGGACCTTAGAACATGGACTGTCAGGACTGAGAGGGACCTTAGAACAATTTAACAGCTGAAAAGAACATTAGAACATAGAATGACAGGACTGAGAGGGACCTTAGAACATAGAATGTCAGGGCTGGGAGGGATCTTAGAACACAGACTGTCAGGGCTGGGAGGGATCTTAGAACACAGACTGTCAGGGCTGGGAGGGACCTTAGAATACTGAATATCAGCACTGAGAGGAACCTTAGTACATAGAAGACTGTCAGAGCTGGGGAGGACTTTAGATCATAGAATGATGGAGTGGCCAGGGGCCATAGAACATAGCACATAAGAGGGCTGGAGCTGGAAGTCCTCTCAGAACATAGGGTACTAGATGTAGAAGATGCTCTGTTTGGATTCCATGGATTTCAGAGTTATGATTTCATTGGCATGGGATCTCCCAGTATGGGAATTCCTTTCACTGACACAGAGCAGTAAGCCCCCGAGAACTTTTACTCTAGAGAGTTGACCTGGGGACCCAGAAGACAAATGACTTGCACACGGTCCCCAAGCTAGCAGGTGGCAGAGACAGGACTCCACTGTTAGCTCTCTATTGTCTACACTGGGCTGCATTTCCCAGAAAGGCCTTTGAATGCAGAAAGCCAGTGTCGGAGAGGACCTCAGAAATAATCCAGTCTAGTCCCTTCACTTGACCACAATGGATACTGAGGCATAGAGAAGGAAAGGGAAAAATCCAAGGTGCCACCTTGGGGCAGGGGCAGGAGTCCTGGGGTCTCCCAGATCTGTGTTTTTTCTGCTGTCTAGGCACAGCCTGAACAACAGTGTCCTAAGTGGCATCCTTCCACAGTAACGTTGTTCATGACTCGGCCCTAAATCTCCCCCGTGAACTTGGGAGCCAGTTCACCCTGTCCCCACCTCTGAGTGGTGGCGGGCAGTGAGCCAGACCAAGGAGAAATCAGTTACTGAACCTACATCTCCCACTGCAAAAGGGAAGAGAATTCAGCTTGCTGCCCACTGCACTCTCCTCTCCTCTTTTAAGATTCCAAAATGTTTCCACTTAGGACAGTGTTGTTCAGGGTAACTGCGAAGATTAAATGGGATATTTATAAATGCTAAATGCAGTACTTGGCACATGCATCTTCCTGCCTTCTCTCCCTTCTTCTCTCCTTCCCTCTTTCCCTTCCTTTCTCCTTCCCTCCCTCTCTCTTTCCCTCTTTCTTTCCCTTCAACCTTCCTTCCTTCCTTCCTTTCCTCCCTCCCTCTCTCCTTTCCTTCCTATCTTTTCTCTCCTTCCCTCCCTCCCTTCCTTTCCTCCCTCCCTATCTCTTTCCCTCCTTCCTTCCCTCCCTCTCTCTTTCCCTCTTTCTTTCCCTTCCTCCTTCCTTCCTCCCTTCCTCCCTCCCTCCTTCCTCCCCTCCCTCCCTATCTCTTTCCTTCATTTCTTCCCTTCCTCTCCCCTTTCCTCCCTCCCTCCCTTCCTTCATCCCTTCTCCCCTTTCCCTCTTTCTTGTGTCTCATTCCCTCACCACTTCCAGCTTCTCCAGTTCCTCCAGCCCCCACAATTCCATCTGTGTACCTCTTTACATTGCCCTTGAGGTAGAATTTTGGAATTAGAACTCACTTCCCTTGACCCTCTGAGCATGTTTCTTCATCTGGCCGATGAGATCAGACTCCATGATTAACCTTTTCAGTTCTGAAGCCCCATGAGATAAGGCCCCTCATCTAAGCTTTTCTCTGCACACAGTTATGTTCTTAATAAATGGTATACGAATGAATGAGGAAAGGGAACAATAAATGAAACAATATGAAGATGAATGAATGAGTGTGCCTGTGTGCCAGGCACTGTGCTGAGTGCTTCTTACAAATATGATCTTATTTGATCCTTATTGACCCTGAGAGGCAGGTGCTATTATTATGCCCATTTTACAGTTGAGGAAACTGAGGCAACTTGCCCAGAGTCATACCATGCTAGGAAGTATCTAAGGCTGGATTTGAACTCAGGTCTTCCTGACTCCAGACCCAATGCTCTATCCACTGAACCCTCAGTTGTCTGAATGAATCAATGAATGATTAAGAAAGGAAGGGAAGAACTCCGAGATATTGGTGTGAGTCTTTGCTCTGCCCACAATGAGCTGGGTGACCTTGAGCAGTTGCTAAAACTCTAGGGACTCAGTTTCCTCATTTTTACAATGAAGTTAAACTATGTCATCTCCAGGGACCCTCCTTTGCAGTCCTGACAGCCTATGATTCCAATGAAAGGACACCTAGTTCTTGCAGGTGCACCTGCCAGATACATTTTCATTCCAATCCTCACCTACATGTTGTTTTGAATACACATATACACACACATATCCCCCTTTACATTCAACTACTCTGGGCCTCAGTTTCTTTATTTGTAAAATGAAAGAGACTAAATACTTCAGATACTTACTAGCTGTGTAAGTCTGGGCAAATTACTTCACCACTGTTTGCCTCAGTTTCCTCAACTGTAAAATGGAGGTAATAATAGTACCTATCTCACAGAGTTTTTGGGAAGATCAAATGAGATAAATATTTGTGAAGTGCTTAGCTTTGCACAGTGCCTGGCACATAGTAGGTGCTATATAAATGCTTATTTCTCCACCCCCCCCCATGACTTCTATGATCCTATGCCCTTGTCATAATGGAAAGAACATTAGACTTGGTGTCTAGTTCTAAATCCCAGTTCTGAGCCTTCCTACCTGAGTGACCTTGGGAAAGTCATCATCCTCTCTCTAGACCAGTTTCTTTCGATGTCAAATGATGTTGGGCTAAATAGATGATCTCCAATATCTCTCTCTACCCTGATATTCTATGTTCTGGGATTTAAGTTCACTTCCAGACAAAGGTGTGGACCAGAGCCAGCTCCTACCAACCCATGGGAGCTGATTGTTAAAATTTCAGTGTGGCTGTTTACACCTCAGAAATTAGCAAATGCTTACAAATCAAGATTTGATTTATTATTTTGTTGATTGTCTGCACTTAAGAAAATCGTGGAGAAAATGTGAATAATGGCGATTAAACTTAAAAGTGCGTTGTACATACATTTTCCCCTCAGTGAGTCAGTTGTTAAATGTTTATAGCACATCACTGTTTCCAGGTCTAAAGCTCTGGTTTAATGTGAAGAGACTAGATTTGGATCGTAGATTTGGAGCTGGAAGGAATCTTAAAGTTCAGTGGTGTCAACTTCAAATAGAAATGGATTCCCAAGGGTCTCATATTGACCTCTTGTTCAGTCATATCTGACTCTATGTGACTCCATGGGCTTTGTCTATGGGGTTTTCATGGCAAAGATACTGGAGTGCTTTGCCATTTCCTTCTCCAGTGTGACCCCATTTTACAGACAAGGAACTGAGGCAAATAGGTTAAGTGGCTTGTCTGGGGTCACACAGCTAGTAAGCATTTGGGGCCAGATTTGAACTCCAGTCTTCCTGACTCCAGACCTGGTGCTCTATCCACTGTGCCATCTAGTTGTCCCTCATATTGACTTAGAAAACCACAAATTCACATTATCTATGTCATATTGTATTATTTTCACTATTGTATATATTTTTATTTATTTTGTTAAACCATTCTCAATTATATTTTAATGGTTCTGGCCTGATTTCAGCCTACACGTGACACATCTGATCTAATCCAACCCCGTTATTTTATAGGTGAGGAAACCAGAGTGCACAGACAATCTATGATTTCCACAAGGTCATCCAATTGATAAGTGGTAGTGTTTTATGTCACCCTTCCCTCTTCCCACTGGCCTACTTGCTCCAAGTCAAGTGGCTAGCATATGGGACCTGAACCGAGACCTTCCTGATTCCCACTCCAAAGTGCTGATCCAGAGTGTCACAAGCTACGACCATCACCACCACCACCTCCACCATAATGTGACCATTCACGAAGAGGGCTTGGGGATCTCCCCTGGAAGTGGAGAATGCCCTTGTCTGCACCTATCTGCCTGGGGAAAGCCCTGACTTTGGGCAGGGATGCCACAGGGAGGAGGGAGGGCCAGGGATGGAAGAATGGGAAAGTTGTTACCGGTCTGAGCGATGATGCAGAATTTTTCGGTAGGGGCACACGCCTGTGGTGATTGACACTGGAAGTCACCCATGCATACGTGACACTGGAGGGGTCCTGTGAAGCAAGGACAGGAAGCAAGTGAGGAACATGGTACGCAAGAAGCCTGACCCTTCCATTAGCAGCTGGAAGCGATATCCCAATTTACCCAGACCAACAACTCGGACGTCAGTCACTCCACCAAATGAACACCGAGGCTCTTGTTTCTATGGGGATTGGCAGTTCACCACGTTTCCCTCACCTCAATCTTGTGAAGCGGGCAATGGATGCCTTTTGTACAGATGAGGATAGTGAGGCTCAAATGAGTGACTGTCCATGGATGTTCAGCTAGTTTGAGTGTTGGAACAGGGAGCCACATGACAATATAATGGAAAGAGCCTAGGATCTGGGGCGGGGGGAGATGTTACAGGGCCAGGATTTGAATTCCAAATTCTTTATCGCCCTATATGACTTTGGACAAGTAAATCTCCCTTTCTGAGCCTTGTTTACCTCATTTATAAAGGTTGTGGTTGTGTGTGGTTTGTCCTTCTTTCTTGAAGAGGACCATGACATCAGGGAGATGATGACATGACTTGCAATTAACTTTGCTTTGAGTGAGGCAGGGCTGTGCAAGGTTACCAGCCTCACTTTCTCCTCTGGAGCCGCCTGGGTCCAGTGGCCAGAAATTGACCAGGACAACTGGAGATGGCCCAGCTTCATTTATAAAATAAGGAGATCAGATGAGTGATCTCTACTGTCCCAGTCAGTCAATAAGCATTTATTAAGTACTCACCATGTTCTAGGCACTGTCCTATGCTCTGAGGATAAAAAGGAAGGTAAGTGACAGTGTCTGCCCTTGAAGGTCTCCCAGTCTAGTTAGGATACAACATGCAAAGTACACATGAGCTGTATGCAGGATAAATTAGAAATAATCAACAGAGAGAAGCCACTAGAATGAAGCAGGGTTGGAAAAGGCTTCCTATAGAAGGTGGGATTTTAGCTGGAACTTAGAGAACACCAGAAGGCAGAGAGGAGGAGGGAGAGCTTTCTAGGCATATGAGGGGAAACCAGAGAAAATGCCCAGAGTGAAGAAAGGGAGTGTCTTGACCTAAATATAGTATCCAATGATCCCAGGTCTTCTGATTCTCCCTCTTGGGGCTCTTTCTTCTATGCCACCATGGCATCCCAGGTGAGGGACTGAGCTGCATTTGGCCAAAATAATGCAATTTTGTTGTTGGGGGAGGCAACAGGGGTCCCTGGAAAGAGTATTGTAATTAGAGTCAGGAGCCCTGAAATGGAATCCTACTTCTGCCACTGATTGGTTACGTGATTTAATCAAGTCAGTTCTTTACCTTGTGCCTCAGTTTCCCTCTATAAAATAAGGGGGTTGAAGCTTCTGGCAAAGGTATTTACTTAAAAGTTTCCTATCAAGCCCAGCTTTCCCTATAACTCCCTTGGGAATGGTAAAGAAAAGAACCAAGAAAGCAAAGGATCTAGAAACCCAGAGAAACATTAGGAATGCCTTTCTCCCCATCCAAGATTGCACCAGGAGATAAGGCCCAAAGTCAGTTAACTTCCCAACATTCACAATGGAACTTCTCTGGGAAACAGGCCTGAGATAGTGTATGTTCTTGGTTGGAGGATAAATCAGGGGGAAGTGACCTGGTCCCAATTTTGGCTCCCAGGCTAGGATTACAGTGGGAGGCTAAAACCCAGAAATGCCCAAGATCTCACTTTGGCTACCACTCCCAGACTGTTAAAAGGAATGAGACACAGAGATTGTTGTTTAAAACTCAACTAAATTATCCAGTATTCTTATCTACGCCTTAGTGTTCCAGACTAAGTCTGCTAGAAGGGACAGAAAAGTAACATTAACAGGCCTGCTTTAGGATAAGGATTGACAGCTAGCTAATTGTGGCTTTTTAGGGGCAGCTAGATGGCGCAGAGGATAGAGCACCGGCCCTTAAGTCAGAAGGACCTGAGTTCAAATTTGGCCTCAGAGCAAACACTTGACACTTACTAGCTGTGTGACCCTGGGCAAGTCACTTAACCCCAATTGCCTTAAAAAAGAAAAAGTTTTTTAAAAAAAAGTTAAACATTTAATTGTGGTTTCTTGCAGGCTTTTTCCTAATGTGGATTGGGCTTCAACTACTCTAGTAATTGCTAAACCCAGAGAACCTTGAAAAAACAATAAGGTGTGATATTTCCAAGACAGTCCTAATGTAGAAGCTTAAGAAATGAGTAACTAGAAAATACTACAGGTTAAGAGAATCCCAGGATAAAATCCCAGAAGAAATAAATCATTCCTCAATAATTTCAAGCAGAACCCCAGCTTAATTTTTGAAAAAAAGACAATGGTTTAGCCACAAGGACTCTGAGAGTGACTGGGAAAAATGAAGGGAGAATTGAAACAAGAGATAAATGAGGAGCTATTTCAAAACAACTAACTGGAAAGATAAGATGATAGGACAAAATTTAAAATTTGTTAGAATACTTAAAAATCGTGACAAAATTGAACACATACATACTGCATTTTGAGAAATCATAAAAGAAAACTCCATAAAACCATTTGAACCAGAGGCTGAATGAAACTAGAAGAATACAAAGGTTACCTCTGAAAGAAACCCAACATTAAACACATTTAGAAATGTAATTATTAAACTCCAGAGATTGGAGTTCAAAGAAAAAAAAGTATCGTGAATAACTAGGAAGAAAGCAACCCAATACAAAAGAATATCAGTCACATTCTATTGCAATTATAATAAGGAAAACGAAAACTTTAAATACAATATATCAAAAGGCACAAAGAATAATTCATTCTACAAAGCTGATTATAATTATTCAATGAAAAATGAGACAGCTAATAGAACAGATGATTTTAAAATATTCTTGCTAAGAAAACTGAAGGTGGGTAGAATCTTTGAAATACAAATGCATGAGATGAGAGAAACCTAGATAGAAAAAGAAATTTGAGCAACTTGAAAGGGTTAAAATGCCTTAGACAGAAAAGGCTCTGGGTGTGATTTGTTCTTACTGTTGTTCTTGTTCTGTTTCGTAGTAAGAGACAAAAGAAAATAAAGGAGCAAAGGAATAGACTAGGGAACGAAAGGTCGGAACTCATTCATTGATATTGTTGAGGCACAGCAGGCGAGTATTCAAACATGAAGATGATATTGGGAAGAATAAGCATCTCATGAATTTCCCTCTTATCTGAAGCTGGCAAAGGAAGAGAGAACACACTCTTAAATATATAAAAAGTAAAATGTAGGAAGACGAGAAGCAGAGAGGGAGTAAGCCGGGACCAAGTAGTGGAAAGATGGGGTTTTCAGAGAGACGACAGAGTCAGGGAGGGAAGAGTCACAGCAAGAGAGGCTTCAACCATGGAAGGCTAATTTTAAAGGAACGAATAAAGGGAGAATATGAGAGGGATCTGGGTACGATCTGGGTAAAGAAGGGGAGGACAGAAGAATAGAATCATTCCACTCTATTGTCTGTTATTTAATATAGTTCTAGAAATTCTAGCTATAGCGATGATGAACAAAAGAAATTAACAGGATAAGCATGGACAAAGAAGATATCATTTTTTGTAGATGACGTGATAGCTTACCTAGAGAACTCTAGAGTCAACTAAAAAAATTTGAAGTAACTGAAACAATAACTTCAGTAAAGTATAAGAATATAAGTAAATCCACAAAAACCTTTTTGCATATCGTCAACAAAAACAAGAAGAAAGGAATAGACAAAAATTTTCATTTGAGATAACTTAAGACTATGTACCAAGACATACACAGGAATTATGTGTGTGTATGTGTGTATACATATATATGCATATATACGTATAGATGTATACATATACATACCTATGAATAATATGTGAATATTCTTTATAGAATAAAAGAAGATCTAAATGATTAGAGAAGTTTGGTCTATGGCAATATAAAAAACGTATTTTTTTGGTAAATATTACTTAAATTAATTTACATATTTAGTGCCATATCAATCAAACTATCAACATTCTAGTTTAGTACAAGAAAAAAGTAATAACAAAATTCATCTGGGGGGACAAAAGTTCAAGAATCTCAGAAGAAATAATGAGAGAGAAGTGGGAAGGAAGAGAGCCTAATAGTTCAGATCTCAAATTTTACTGTAAAAGAATAATGATCAAAACTACTCTTTAGTTGTTTAACAATAGAAATGTTGGTCAATAGAACAAATTAGGAAAACAAGAAGCAACTGAACATAGATCCTAGTGTTCAACAAAACCAAGGACACCAACTGCTAGGTTAAGGAATCCCTATTCAAGAAAATATGCCTGGAAAATTGGAAAGCAAAATGGAAGAATTAGATTTAGATCAACATCTTAAACCATGTACTGCAATAATATCCGAAGAGATATAAGACCTAAGCACAAAATATCACAGAATTTTTAAAAATAGAGGAGAATGGAAGGCAAATTTCATAATTAGGGTTAGGGAAAGAACTCTTAAGTAAACAAGAAATGGAGGTGATCATAAAAATAAAACAAGCAATTTCAATTATATAAAAATTGAGAAACTTTTTTCCTGAACAAATCAATGTAATCAGAGTCACAAGAGAAGCAATGAATTGGAGTGGGGGGGGGGAACTGTAGCAAACATCTTTGATAAAAGTCTGATATCTAAGATATGTGGAAATTGATAAAAATATGTACAAACAAGAGTCATTCCTCAATTAACAAGGGGTCCAGTCAATCAAATAACAACCATGTACCAAGCACTATGCTAGGTGTTAGGAATCAAAGACAAAAATGAACGGTATTTACATAGAGTGTGTGTGTGTGTGTGTGTGTGTGTGTGTGTGTGTACGCGCACGCCCCGAAGGCACAGAAACGTAAGATAGAGTGTCATATGTGAGCAGAAAGATGAACAGTTTTGCTGGAGCATAAAGTGTTTGAAAGGAGAATGATGTGTATACTAAGACTGGAGAGGTTATTTGGGGCCCATGTTGTTAGGGATTTTAAAGGCCAATCAGGGAAGACTGTATCTGGTATTAAAAGTAATGGGAGGGACAGTTAGGTGGTGAAGTGGATAGAGGACCAGCCCTGGAATCAAGAGGACCTGAGTTCAAATTTGGCCTTAGACACATAACACTCACTAGCTGTGTGACATTGGACAAGTCACTTGACCCTATTGCCTAACCAAAAAAAAAAAATTGGGGGGGGGATTACTACTATGGAAAAAATTTAGGCATGATGCACCAGTTTGGTGGCAGCATCAGAGGAGAGAAGGGGGAATAAATGAGAGATGTTATAAGCACCTTCTAAGTGCTACATACTGTGCTAATCACGAGGGAGATAAAAAGAGACAAAAGACAGTCACTGCTCTCAAGGAGCTTACTCCCTAACGGAGGAGACAACATGCAAAAATGTATAAAAAGCAAGCTATATACAGGATAAATGAGAAATAATTCACAGAGGGAAGGCACTGGAGCATGCATTTTTCTTTTTTTTCTTCTTTTTTTTTTTTTTTGGCAATTGGGGTTGAGTGACTTGCCCTTATAACATCTCTCATTTGTTCCCCTTCTCTCCTCTGATGCTGCCACCACTCTTTTTTTTTAAGTTTTGAGTTCCAAATTCTATCCCTCCCTCCATCCCTGCCCTCTCCCTCTCCCTGGGACAGTATGTAATCTGACATAGGTTATATATGTGCTATCATGTAAAACATTTCCATGTTGGTCATTTTGTACAAGAAGACTCAAATTAAAATAAAAGAAACAAAGAAAGAAAGAGGAGGGGGAGAGAGGGGGGGGGAGAGAGAAAGAGAGAGAGAGAGAGAGAGAGAGAGAGAGAGAGAGAGAGAGAGAGAATGCTTCAGTAATGCCTGGATTATTTCAGCAGACTGCTAGCTGGTCTGCCTGGAACAAGTCTCTTCCCACTCTAGTCCATTCTCCGCTCAACTGTCAAACTGATGTTCCTAAAGTATAATCTGACCATGTCACCCACCCATGACCTCCATTCAATCAACTCCATTGAGTCTTTATTTCCTTCGGGACCAAATCCTTCACCTGGCTTTTAAAACCTTCCATCATACCCACTCCCTCTCTTTCCAGTCTTCTTATGCCTTATTTCCCTTCACATATTCTATGATTCAGTGACACTGGCCTCCTGGCTGTTCCTTGCACCAGGCACTCCATCTCCGGACTATGGGCGTTGTGACCGGCGGTCCCCCATATTTGAAACGTTCTCCCTCCTTTTCTCCACTTCCTGGCTTCCTTCAAGTATCAGTTGAAAACCCACCTTCTTAGTGCCTTCCCTCCAAGATTATTTCCAATTCTATACATATATATATGTGCGTGTGTGTGTGTATGTATATATATATATATATATCTTTTTTGTACATAGTTGTTTGCATGTCATCTCCCATGTTAGATTATAAGTTCCTTGAGGCCAGAGTGTGTCTTGATTTTCTTTGTATTCCCAGCCCTTAGCACATAGTAGGCTCTTAAAACATTCTGGTTGACTGATTGACTCTAAAGAGGAGGATATTGGACCAATTATAGGATTGATATCTGAAAGAAGACTTTCAGGCCATCTAATTCAACCCTTTATTTTTCAGAGAAGGTAACTGAGGCCCAGAAAAAGGGAGTTTGTTATGATATGGCAGAGTTCATAAGAATGTAGATTTAGAACTGGAAGGGACCTTAGAGGTCATTTCGTCCAATCCCCCTCATTTTCCAAATGAGAAACCAAGGCTCAGAGAGGTTGCATGACTTTCTTCAAGTCACACAGGTATTAAATATCAGAGCCAGGAGTCAAGATCCTATGTCTCCAAATCCAGTAATCTTTCCAATATATCCTGATGGACACCATCATCTTCCCATCCCTCCTCCAAATTTCCTATTTCTACTGGGGGCGCTACAAGCCTTCCTGTAACCCAAGCTCAGAAGCCGAAAGTCCTCCCGGGTATCTCCTCCCTTCGTCCCCGTTCCCCTTTCCCCTCCATATTCAATCAGCTCAGCAGAAATTCGGTGAGGAAAGGGGCTTCCAGCTGTAAAATACCCCAGAGCACCCAGACTTGCATCCCGTGGACCTCTCTTTGCCTTCCACGTGATGAACAGCCCAGGCCTGTACGTGCCAGTTTCAAAGCCCATCCCAGGTTGATCTGACCTAAACTTGGTGTAGTTTCAATTTTCCACCACCTCATTCGGGTAATGTTGGTATTTTTCAAAGCAGATGACGCGTTCCCATTAAACACAGGGACGAAGTCAGTGCATAAGATGGCCATCATTATGATACTCAGTAGAATCTTCATTTTCCTTGTATCTCAGCCTGTGAAGAAAGATCGGATCAGCCTGGTTCACCATGTTTTGCAGTCGCTTAGAACTGAAGTCACACATTTTTTTTTTTAGAGGAAATGGCCATTGAATGGGATCATGGAATCACAGGTTGTCAGACATCTACTATGTACCAGGTACTGTGCTAACTGCTGTACAAATATTATTTCGTCTGATCCTTACAACAACACTAGGAGGCAGGTGCTATTATTATCCCCATTTCTACAGTTGAGGAAACTGAGACAAACAGAGGTCAAATGACTTGCCAGGGGTTACACAGCAAGAAAGGGTGTGAAGCTGGATTTGAACTCGGGTCTTCCTGACTCCAGGACAAGCCTTCCGTGCCACACTAAACACTGAAGTTCACAGCACGGCCAGAGAGGATGGAAACTTCTGCCTTTGACTCTAAAGGCAAGTTCCACATAGTTCTCTCTAGCACCACTCCCAGAGCATATATACCCTTTGAGAACCACGGTACTATAGGAAAGGACAAAAGACAGAGTTATCTTTCCTGTTTTATAGATGATAAAACCGGCCTCACAGTGGCCTTGTATATAAAAATACTTTAAGAACATTTATTTAAGTTGAATCACTTTTGTTCATGCCAGGAGACAATGATTAGAACCAGAGTCTCTGACTACCCACAATGGGGGATCTTTCAAGTGCAGTAAATCCCGTCTCTCTTTGCAGAGTACTATGAGATGTCCTCAAAGATGCACTGAGGAAGGAAATGTATCCTAGTGAATGTTGAATTTGGGTTCAGAGGTCGGAGATTCAGGTTTCCTGCCTTCTACTTTAGCTTTGTGACCCTGGGCAAGTCCCTTCCCTTCTCCGGGCCTCAGTTTCCTCCTCTGTAAAATGAGGCGGCTGGACTAGAGCCCCTAACAGGATTCCCAGCTCTAACCCTCAGGGCCCCGGGGAGATCTTGGCCATCCCCTCCCCCTCCATAGACGGTCCAACCATACCTGGGCTCTGTGCTCTGCTCAGTTCCGCGGCGCCCTGGATCTCAGTGCGGCTCCCTGGGCTCCTCCTGGATGGCTCGGCTTCCTGCAGCCACAAGAGGCACTGGCCCTGGTTACCCCCTCCCTCCCAGCGCAGCGTGAGCACGTGGAGAGCTAGAGGAAGTCCGCTGGAAGGGACTTCCCGGGATAGACTCGGGGTGGGGGTGGGGCTGAGGCCGGGGGCCCCAGAGCAGAGGATGCATGGGGACCCTGGAGCAGAGAGTGTCCGGGCTATGACCTGTCACAGCATGTGGGCTACAGACAGGGTAGGAGGGCACCTGGAACATGGTCATAGAACTTAGAATGTAGGCTTCATAGCTCAGTGGGGGGCCTGGAGCAGACAGTGTCGGGGCTGCAGCAATGTCAGAATCTAGGATGTAAACGGGATCCCAAAGCCCACTTGGTTCAAACTACTCATTTTAAACGTATTCCTGGCATTTCCAGCTACCCGGAAGGACTGCATCTCCAAGTTCCTTTATTTAATAAAGACGATGTAGACTAGGCCAAAGTAGAGAAATTAGACCCATTGCGCCCTCCCCGAACTCCCGGTTAAAAAGCACGCATTCGGTGGGCTCCGGGCGGCGGCGCTGGCGGCGGAGGAGGAGGAGCGACTCCTTCCTCTTCTTCCTTTCCGCCCTCGCCTTCGCCCCCTCCTTTACGGCACCATGGCTCCGGGGGCGACCGTCTCGGAGCGGTGGTCAAGGTGTCCTACGAGCCGAAGGTTTGCAAGTCCTCCACGCCCGAGAAGGTGAACCAGCGCCGGACGTGGCGCCGCAGGAGGGCGAGGAGGTCCGCGTGGGGACGCGGGGCACGCTAACTGGGTGACCCTGGGCAAGTCACTTAATCATGTCTGCCTCAGTTTCCTCATCTATAAAATGAGATGGAGAAGGATATGGCAAACACTATAGTATCTTTGTCAAGAAAACCCCAAATGGGGTCACAGAGTTGGACACGACTGAAATGACTGCACAGCAACAGATCACTGGTCCATTTGGTCTATATTGGACTTTTCAGATGCGTGCTGGGCATCATTTGGGAGAGCTAGGCTTGTCTACAACCTTTTTGCATCACCTTTTAAACCTGAAGTATTGTGTGTGTGTGTGTGTGTGTGTGTGTGTGTGTGTGTGTGTGTGTGTGTAAATGTACACCTCCAGTAAAGGCTTCCTCTGTTGATTTATCATGCTGTGAAATTGATCCTGGGTTTTCAAAGGCTCCTACTATGTGACAAGGCACATAGTAGGTACTTAATAAATGTTTATTGAATTGAATTGAATCAAAATGTCAAGAGAACTAGAGGAAGACTACCAGTTTGTTAGGTGGACTTCCCATGAAGAGTTATAATCTCATAAAGCCGGAGCTGGGAGTGCTCATGTTGGTAAGGTCATAGGTCCTTGAAGCATTGCCATGTAAGCACGCTCCCATGCTTAGGTAAACCTGTGACCTCTTTAATGTGGGTGTGATATAGATGAAAACCCATCTAAGCCCTCTCATCCTGTGTACTTTGTTCTGTGACCTGTAATTCTTCAACGGCAATCTATCCAACATGCTGGTCAGCTGTTGACTACCAGTCTCTTGACATTTCAGTTCAATTCAGTAAAGACTTACTAAGCACCTACAATGTGCCAGGCACTGTCAGTTATTCATTCTCCTCACTCCATGACCAGCTCACCTTCTTTTTTCCAATCAAACATGGGATGACATCCTTTTTCTGCTTCTCTGGTACATAGCTTGACTGGTAATATGTTGCAGATTCATGCCCATCGCACACTTCTCCATTGCCCCTTGGGCGACCTTCCACTCTTGAGTGACTCTGATATTCCCTGACTAGCGGCCATGCGGCATCACTGGAAGGGTAGAGTTGTTTAGAAAGACCTTTGTTTCAAGAAGAGGCTGGAGCTCATTGAAAACTCTTGCTCTGTTCTCCCTATTTGATGCTGGGTCCCTAAACAGTGTCTAAGATGTAGGTAGTGATGGACACCCAGTGGGTTGTCCATCCAACTGCTTATCAAAGTCTGGAGAACAGACGTTCTTCATTCACTTGTTTGTTTATTTTTTAATGTGAATAGTTATGCCAAGCTCTTGAATAATTCTAATTCTTGCTTAGTAAACTTACTATTTCTTTGGGTAGAGTTTTTTTTTTTAATGTTTTATTGCTCTCAGTTTTTCTAATTTTTTTTTTGGCTGGATTTTTTATTTGGTTGGTTTTTGTTTTTGTTTTTTAGATTGGGTTTCCAACCATTAATTGACACAGGGGCTTTGAACTCTAAACTGCCAAGGAGTTCGACATATAGGTGCAGGACTTTGGGCAGATGCCTACCTGATCAGCTTAAGCTGATGCAGCACAGAATTCCTGAGCTCCAGTGATCTACCAGCCTCGGCCTTCTTGGCAATAGAGATCATAAGGGTGTGCCACCACACCTGGTTATAGCTTCCTTTTGTCTTCTATCATTTCCCAGCCTGTTCCTAGATTAAACCCTTCCTGTGACAGAAACACACACACACACACACACACACACACACACACACACTTCAGATTTAAATGGTGATTCAAAAGGTTGTAGACAAGTCTAGCTCTCCCAAATGATGCCCAGCACGCATCTGAAAAGTCCGATATAGACCAAATGGACCAGTGATCTGTTGCTGGGCAGTCATTTCAGTCGTGTCCAACTCTGTGACCCCATTTGGGGTTTTCTTGACAAAGATACTGGAGTGGTTTGCCATTTCCTTCTCCATCTTATTTTATAGATGAGGAAACTGAGGCACACAGGGTTAAGTGACTTGCCCAGGGTCACACAGCTAGTAAGTGTCTGAAGCCAGGTTTGAACTCATGATAGTGAGAAAGCAAACAAAAATAAACTTCTCATTCCACTCCAGAAATGCATGAAAGATGACTAGGAGTCTGCAGGGATGGATGGGGAAAGGAAACATGCTGGAGAAGCATGTTCAGGTAAATGAGGTGAAGAGATGTGTGAGCTCCTACGGGTGGACCTGAACCCAGCCAGGACTCTGAACAGCCAATGAGAGCTCTGTTGATTGAGGATCCAAAGTTAGGTCCTGGTCCCGGAATATTAGAACAGAAGTAGCTCATAAAGGTAATCGCAGAGGGAGAGAGTGTGGCTATATGCTCCTCACGGTACTGAGAGCCACTGCAGGAGATGGGACCAGGTGGGTACTGGGGCTTCAGTTACAGAGAGGTTGTACAGGACACCTCGAGATCAGCCTGATTCCAACAGCCAACCAAGCCTCATCCTCATCTCAGCCAGGGATAGAACTAACTCCAAACTGGAGATCATGCAAGGAAAAGGCAGAGTCTGGCCGGAGTAGCAGGAGATGGAAATAGAAGGCAGAGACGGAGGCAGACAGTAGAGAATGATACCAGGTGTTCCATCTAGATTGACAATGTCAGTGGCATCCATGCTATAGATTCTTAGGTCGATTTTGAAGTTAAAATTTTGAAGGTGGCTTTTATGAGTAGATGCCCAGAATCCTAGAGATGAAAGAGAACTCAGAGACCATTTAGTCAAACCTTTACCTAAACTGAGTAAACCAAAATCCAATTAACTGGGTGTAACCAAACCCAAGTTGTCACTGTGTTTCCGTAAGCAAAACATCTGGACTTGGACCCAGTACCCTAGCTGTGGCCTGCCTAGGTCAGATAGCGGTGGAACTATGAGAGAATCAGAGAACGAGAGAATCTCAGATTGATAAAGAACCTCAGAGGTCATCTATCCATCCCCTCTGTCATGTGCCCACCAAGTGGTCCTCTAGCTTTCCTCTAAAGATCTCCATGGTCTGAACCAGGAACATACTTCCTCCCAAGGCATCCCATTCCACTTTGGAACACCTACAATTTTTAGGAAATTTTTTTTTCCTTACATTTAACCTAGATTTGTCTCTGTAACTTCAAGTCATTGCTCTGCGTGCTGCCTTACAACAACACCTCACCAAAAAAAAAAAAAAAACAAACCTGATGTTTTCTACATATTCCCTTTAAATATTTGAATAGAGTTGTTACATCCTTTGAAGTATTTTCTTCCCCAGGCTAAGCATCCTCAGTTCCAGTGCTAGTAGAACATGTTCTCAGTCCGTCTCCTTTGCAAGCCTGATGACCACTCTACTTTGTCTATGTCCTTCCTAAATTGTGGCATGTAAGTGACAAAGCTGATGGTCACATATCAGGCCAGCATCCAAACTCGTCCCCCTTTGCCAAGGAGTCACTGGATGGATGCCCGATCTCATGATGGAGTGACTGCTTCTCAGGGACATTGTTGAGGTAACTCTTCTCCAGGTATGACTTGGATCGGACAGCCTTTCAAGTCCCTTTGTGCTCTGAGAACACAGGATTCTGTGAATTTAGAGGCAGATATGGTCATGGAAGGACCAGGGATCAGAACATCCCTTGGACTTAAAAAACCACAAATTAACATCATCTAAGTTTTTTCGTATTTTTCATTCATTTTATTAAATATCTTCCAAGGGTCCCGTGTACATGGGCCAAGGCTGCATATTTGACACCTCTGCTAAAGAACACGGATGCATTTGGTCTTGAAATCAGCATATGTCAACTTTAACTCCAGCTTTGCCAAGGACTTTCTGCAAGACCTTGGACAAGTCTGTCTAAGCTTCTATTTCCTCATCTACAAAATTGGGAAAATAATGCTTGCACTGAATACCGGCGATGGTTGTTATGGGGAAAGAGTGTTGAAAATCCAAAAGCATTACACACACATTGGGACAATGTCATGATCATTCAGACAGTCAACCAACAGATGCCCACACTGCTTCTAGCTATGGTTTTGATTACAGAAAAGGCACAAATGGAGGTGAAAAATGGCCCCTGCCCTCAGGACTTCTTAACCTTGTGGAGGTGCTAGGAAGGGGAAGGAAAGATATAGGAATTATGGACAAATAGGCAGCAATGTTCCAGAAATATTCAACAAATTGGAGGACTCAGAGCCAGAAGTTCTGACTTAGAATCCTGGGTTTGTCACTAAAGGGGTTGTGTGATCTTAGACAAGTCATTGACCTTTCTAGGCCCCAGTTTTCTCCCTTTAAAGTATTGCAGGATTGGACTAGGCAATCTGAAAGGTCCCCTATAGCTCAAATAGTCACTAATTTTATGATTTTTGAATGTAATGAGATCCAATGATCTAAAATTTGTAAAGCACTGCACTAAGGGCTGGAACATAATAGAGTCTTTCCCAATGCTTCTTGCCTTCTCTCTTGACTTTCCCTTATTCCCCCTCTAGAATAGCTTTTAACTGCATAGACTTTTGGAATTAGGAGGTGTGGGGCTCTTCTGCAGAGGCAAGGCTATATCCCATGGTTTGGGGTTGAGACAGGTGTCAAAGGAAAGACCACCAAAGAAGGGGACAGAAGAGGGAGGTGACTGGTCCTCAGGCACATGGGAATGACAGCCTGGCAGCTCTACCAGCCACAAACCATCCCACTCTTCAAAGCCAACTCTCCTCCTGGGACATGGGAAAGGTGAAAGCCTAAAGGGGAATGTGGAAAGGGCTGCTATGGTGAGGTGGTAGGTGTCTCCTCCCTCATGGGAAGTCTCCTAAGCAAGGCTGAATTACTGCTTATCAAGCATGCTGATCCTAAAACGGATTAACTTGGAGATTCTGAGGTTCTGTGGCAATCTAATGTCTCCTCTGACACAATGAAAGGAGTTCCAGCTACCTCCCCTGTTATCATCAGGCACCACCACATCTCCGCTCATTAATCTGGACCTTCAACGTTCAATATAAAGCACATTGATTAAGTGGCTAATGTGTACAGGATGATTCTTCTTGCTGCTGAGAAAGTAGAGTTAATTAAGACACTGGCCCCTGCCCTCAAGTAGCTCATAGTCTAGCCAGAGATAGCTATGGTAGCTGACTGACAGTGTGCCAATAGACACATGAGTGGTGCAGACAGCATGTCCAGGTAAGGTGGCAAGGAGGACTTGGGGAATGAGCCCTCTATGAGAAATGAGTGCTCCTGTTGTAGCTCATTTCCTGAGCAACATTTAGCAGATCCTATCTCCCAGCCTCAGTTTCTTTTCTTTCAAATAAGTGGCTTGGCTTCTAGATATGTTACTCAAGAGTATTCCAATAGAGAGGCATTGGCATTGGCAGGAATGGGAGGTTGACGGGGAGCAATTGTAGTGTAAGCCAGGTGGAAATCTGGAGCTTTTGCATGAGAGTCTCCTCATTGGGACAGAGAATGAGAATTTAATGCATACATAAGGCACAGAGGTGGGAGGAGGGATCCCCCTATGTCTTTTCTCAGTGCCAGAAGGAAGAAGAAAGTTTCTTCTCTCCCAAGCTCTCAGATTAACTTTGGCCCCCCTCACCGATGTTTAGCATCCAGCCATCATTCTCTCCACCAATAAGGAAGCTTGATGCAAATGCTCCTGGCTTTCACCTGCATTGCATTTGGATCAAAGGACTTAAAATGAAAAAAAAAAAGGCCATGAAGCTGTGACCCCCAAAGGTGAAGGTAGTAGCAGAGGAAATGTTCCAGGATCCTTAGATGTGGACCTGGAAGGGACCTTAAAAGAGAAAGTCTAGAATAGAAGAACGGGAAGAGGCCTGAGAAATGATTTAATCCAACTCCCCCGTGGAAGAGAGGCAATAAGACATCTTAGAGATGTCACTCAAGAAGCAGTTAGGTCAGGGACACAGGGCCAGGAAACAGCAGAGCCATGATCAGAAGCCAGATCTGTTTATTTCAAGTTCCACAAACGCTAAGAGGTTGGGAGACTCACTCCAGGTTAGGTGACAAGGGACGACACTAGGCAGGGCCTCTGTTTGTTGAGGCAAGGCTGCAAGGTTAATTAAGGACACGGAAGGTAAAGAGTGGGAAGGATTTGGGGTGAAGGACGAAGCGGTAGATCAGCTTCAGGTTGTCCTTACACAAAGTCTCCACCTGGAAATTTTTCAAGACCTGAAACAGATAGACGAATTTCAAATGTATTGTCCCATTCACCCCCAGATTCTGGCTCCGAGAATCCTGGGGGTCCTCCCCTTGTCTCTTGAGGGGTCTGCTACTTTCCTTTGGCCCCTGCTAACTCCCCTGTTTTCTCCTCGATGGGGTCACAGCCCACTCTTTTCTTGCACCATTCCTTTACAAGACTTCCTTAGAGCCTCCGAGAGACACCCCCTAACCCTACTCCTCCTAAATTTCTAGCAATGTTTGTCTTGGATAATAGACTAAAGGGGCAAGTGAGTATTGCCTTTTCATTTCTGAAGGGATAGCAAGTATACTCCAAAAAGGGCTTATACCTATTTTGCATGATCTTAAGCTGTAGGACTTTGGCCAGGGAGTAGAAGTCATAGGGAAGAACGTTTCAACTCCATAAAAAGACTTTTGTAAGAAATAGAGGTATTCTACAGCAAAATGGAGTGACTCAGGTTGGGTGGTGAGCTCCCTGTCCCTTCAGATATCCAATCAAAAACTGGACAATCACGGCTTAGAGATTCAACTTGAGGTTGAACTAATTTGACCTATGTAAGTCCCTTCCAGCTCTAAAAGTCTTGGCTTGTCCCCAAACACCCCCTCTCTGTTCCCAAGCCCTTCCCCCACCTGGTGGAGTGCCCTCCACTCAGGCCACTCACATGGTGCAAGAAGAGGAGCATTTCTGTCTCGGCCAGCCTGCGGCCAATGCACTGGCGAATTCCATAGCCGAAGAACAAGAAGCGGAAGTTGGAGATCTGATTGTTGCCTGGGTCAGAGGCGGCAGCCAGCCAGCGAGTGGGGTCATAGCGTTCGGGCCTGACAAACACCTCCGGGCTGCGGCCCATGGCGTAGAGGGGGATCTGGATCAGGGTCTGTGAGGTGGACAGGATGTTTAGGGCCTGGGCTGGGGTGCAATATGAGAGCTTGGGAGGAAGAAGATGATAGAGGGGGAAGGGGTAGGATTGGGTGGATTTTTCTCCCCTAGGATCCTCAGGGGTCTTCTTAGGGGTTTTAGGAGTCTGGAGTCCCTCCCAGCTACAATAGTCTATGTTTCTAGGATCCTTCCAGTTCTGCGTTCTACAGGTTGAAGTTCTTTCCCCCAATAGAATATAAGCCCCTTGAGGGTAAGAACTAAAGTACCTGCCTTCATCTTCAAGATTTCCTTGTATCCATAGTAAACTGGCACTTTGCTACACACAAAGTAGGTGCTTAGTAAATGTTTGTTGATTGCATTTCCAGTCTGATCTATGTTCTAGATTGAGTTCTTTCAAGCTCTATTATTCCATGTTTGAGTTCTAAGGTGTCTTCTCGGTGTGACGCTCTGGGACTCTAAATCAGGATTCTGAGAGTGAATGGAGGGCTGTGGATTAGAAGGTGGTCTAGAAGGGTAGGGAAGGTGGGGCCAGAGTGGTGTTGACTCACGCCAGTAGGGACATTGTAATTCTGCAGGACCGTGTCTTTGGCCAGGTAGCGATGTAAGAGAGAGCCAACTGGATAAAGCCTGAAGAGGGGAACAAGGAAGAGGGATCACTCACTCCTGCACCCTGCCAGGGGTGACCTTTGGCCCCATCCCCCATTTCCTCTCCCGTATCCTATCAGATCAAGTTTTCTCTAAAACCTGGGCTGCACCCCTTTCTAAAGGGTATCCCTTCCAACCCCTTTAGCCATTCAGAAAATCGAAAACAAAAAAACCAAAACAAATAATAAGCAAGGTCATCCGGAGTCTGAGGGTATTTCACATAGATGAAAGTGATTGAGGGCAACTGAGCCATTCAGCCCAGAGGGTTCTACACTGGCTCTCTTCAAATATGTGAAGAGCTGTACTTGGGCTGAGATAACAGATTGGTTCCACATAGACCCAGAGAAAAGAAATAAGACCAAAAAAGGGAAAGTTACAAGGGAGTAAGGTAAAGCTCAAAATAATTTAAAATGACAGGGGCACTTCAAAGATATACGGGGACCCATCATGAAATATGGACTACCGCATGTGGTAGTAAGCTCCCTGTCACTGGAGGTATTAAAGAGGCTGAATGATCAGCCTTCAGGACAGAATTAGGGGGAATTTCTTCCCTGAGTAAGGGTCTGACAAGATGACTCTTGAAGTCTCCTCCAGCTCTGGTATTCTACATCTCTCCTAAGGAGTCTGAGGTCATAGGATCATGGATCTAGAGTCTTTAGAAACCATCTAGACTAGCTGCTTTACTTTTACAGAGGAGAAAACTGAAGCCCAGAGAAATTAAATGACTTAACCAGGAACACCTTGCATCTTTTTTTTGAAATCGGCTCTAATGGGAAATAATTTCATAGGCAGTCACCTCTGGAAGCCTGCTTTCCCTGGTCAGGGAAAGAAAAGGGAAGTAGGCACTAGAGACAAAGTCACCTCCTTCTTCCCAGTTTGGCCATGGGAGGACACTGACTCTAGGTTTTACAGCCAATCCCCCTCACTCCTCTACCTCCCTACCTTCTACCCCCACCCCACAAACCTCAGGGTCTCTTTGATGGCAGCACGAAGCAGAGGCAGTTCCTTGACCAATAATTCCGGGTTCTCTTTGAGCCGTGCCGCTGCCTCCTTACTCTCTGTCCTCAAAGCACTCTGTAGGTCTTGGTTCCGGGCCAGCTCAAAGAGGGTCGATATTATAGGGAATGAGGTCTGTGAAAGGAGTAGGGCTCAGGTCAAGAGAAAGACACCCATGGAGCCAGGAGTTGGCATCTCCCCCTCAGACCAGACTGCTCTCTGAGGTGAGGGGCCATGCATTCCCTTTAGGCCAAGGGGCTTCCTTGAGCTCCTCACAATCATCATTTCTCTTGAGGCCATTAGATCAACACTGTAAAGACTGTGAGAGGGATGAAGGGAAGAAATAATGACTCAGGAGACAGAGAAGCTGACAGACAGACAGGCTGGCAGGCAGGAATGATGGAAGGAAGACAAGAAGGCAGTCAGGTAGGCAGGCAAATAAGCAGACAGGCAGGCAGGTAGACAAGACAGACTGGATAGATAGATAGATAGATAGATAGATAGATAGATAGATAGATAGATAGATAGATAGACAGACAGACAGAAAAGATGGATGGCCGGATGGGTGGACAAATAGGAAGGAAGGAAGAAAGAGATGGATAAGGAGACAGAGAGACAGATATATAGATAAGTCAAACACTTAATAAGTACTTACTGTGTTTCAAGCATTGCACTAATGCTAGAGATATAAATACAAGCAAGACAGTCCCTGCCCTTAAGGAGCTTATGCTCTAATGGAGGAAGACATTACATAAAGGGGGTCTAGAAAGGGGAGGTAGAGGGAGAAAGGTATCTGTACAGGAGCAATGAGGGAGTTCAGAGCAGACATGGGAGAAGATGCTAAGGATTTGATGGTCATTGGAGGGGGCATTAGGCATCTGAGGGGGTACTGGGGTGTCTAAGTGGCTAGGAGGAGTGAGTGGTTCTGTGATATCGCTGCTCAGTTGAGCCCTAACCGTTTCCACGCTTCCAGCAGTGAGTTCCGTGATGTTGGCTTTGATGGCATCTAGAGAGAGGTCACCCCTCATCAGCAGTTCAGCCATGATACCTGAGTATTGGGGTGAGCCATTCAAACACATCTCCTGGTAGATTTTCTGAATGCACTTTTCAGCTAGAGGAGGATGGAGATTGGAATAAAGAGATTGAAGGGACACCAGAACTGAGCCCTTTTCTCATGACTCTGGGCATCTCACTCTTCTTCTCCCCACTGATATAAGACTCTAGTCTCCTACCCCTCCTATTCCCCCAACCCCTTACCCTCTTCCTCTCTTCATTCTTCTGTTTCTCCAATTTAAATAGCCCTTTGAGGTAGATAATGCAAATACTATTTCCTTCATTTTACAAATGGGAAAACTGAGATTCCAAGAGATTAATTTAGCCAGAGTTTCACAGCAAAGAAGTACCATGATCGGAATCCAAGATTTGAATTTCTGTTCTCTATTGTGAGGCTCCTCCCAGCTCTAACTCTCTATGCCATAACATGGACCGACTTTAAAATTCTGTGCTCCATAGTCTCATTTTCCCTCTTATTAGAAAAAATAATATATGTTCTATGTTCTAAAACACATCAGCACTAACACTTCCTTCCCTCAACTCCCCATCTTCCCACTGCTCTCCTCAGGCCCAGGGTGGGGGCCAAAAGATGCCCTCCTCACCATACTGGAAAGTATCATCCCAAGCTTGTAAGTGCAGTTTCCATGTCTTGGAATTGAACAATTGGGTCAGGGCCATGGGTGTGTAGATGAGCAGAGGTGTGGAAGATAGTATGTTGTTCATGGCCTGGATGAACTTCAGACCATCAGGATTTGGATTGTTGCTTAGCAATCCCAGTCGTTCTCCATACAAGACGTAGGTACCAGCTGCAGGATGGGGGCGGGGAAAGAGAGAAGGCTGAGTGGTGCCTCTTGCCTGGGTACTCAAGTACCCAACTGCCCCTTCGCCTCTTCCCACCCTTGGTAACTCTGGTAGCTCTCCTCTTTTCTTGAGCAGAAGTCCAATTTCTTCTTGACTCAGGCAGCTTCTGCTGCCATTGCCCATGCCTCTCCTCCCTTGCCTTAGGGATTGCTCCTCTCTCTAGCCTATTCACTCTCAGTCTCTTCTGCTGGCTCATCATCCATGTCCTGCCCTCTCATTATATGGTCTCCTAAGCTTCTATCTTCTGCCCTCCTTACTTCTTTCTCAATACCTTCTCTTACCTCCCTTGACTTAACTAGGATGTCTATACACATAACTCCCAAGTTTATGTGTCTATCCTGCTCATTCTAGTGGGCTCTAATGCCACAGAACCAACTTAGAGTGGCTATCTCCACCCTGGTGTCCCACTGACATCTCAGACTCAAAATAAGCAAAAGAGAACTTATCATCTCTAATGTGAAACCTGTTCTATCTCCAAATTTCCCTATTTCTATAGAGAGCACCATTTTCCTTCCAGATACCCAGGCTTGTGACCTTGGAGTTATCCTCACATATACATTTCCTTCGTCCCTGATATATAGTCAATTGCTCAATCTTGTCATTCCTCTCTCCTAACTTGGCTACTCATACCAATTGGACGAGATGGAAGTCACCATGGCCATTCTTTCTGGTGAGGTGGAAGAACATCAGGTCTTACCATCTGCCGTACTACTGCCTTTTCATATTTTCTGGGCACTGCCATCTGCCTTACCTCTTTGCTCCCTGGACTTCTAGCACCATTAACTAACTCATCTAGCCAACTGAAGGACCCCTGAGTCTTGCAATCTGCCCCTTCAGACTGCAGCACCCTGAAGACTTCTGGGCTTCCCATTCTCCCTGCAACCAAACTTTCTTTTCTATAATAACTTCCCCAATTAGAGGATAAACTCCTTGAAAGCAGGGACTGTTTCCATTTTTTTCTATTAGCATCTCCAGTGCTTATCACAATGTTTGTTACATTAAGCTCTTTTTTTTCTGGTAATTAAGGTTAAGTGGCTTGCCCAGGGTCTCACAGCTAGTAAGTGTCTGAGGCTAGGTTTGAACTCAGGTCTTCCTGACTCCAAGGGCCAGTGCTTTATCCACTGTGCCACCTAGCTGCCCTATAAGATCTTCATTAATGTGTTTTTTTAATTCATTCATTAACTTGTGACAATGCAGTCTTCTAGATCTTCTCCCTGCACGGTCAATTCTTCTATGTCTCCTCCACTGGTTCGTTTTCCCAAAATGTCAACTGGAGAGCTAAAGTCATTCTCTCTCTTCCCTGTCTTCTACTCTCCTGGCTTAAGGCTAACTCTGACCCACCTCCAGACTTGATGTCAACTCAGGCATCTTAGATCCTTGACTTCACACCTAGTACCTCCTTAACCAGCAGATGCTAATACCTCTCCTACCTTAGGACCTCTTAAATAACCTCATTTCTCCACTCTCACATCCCTCTCTTTCCTTCCCTTCACCCCACCCAAACGCACACGGGCAATCTCATTTCTCGGGATGCCAAACTAGCAGGCATCTTCCACATTTAAATGTCTTATTTGGTTCAGCTGGAACAACCTTCAGTCACTTCATACCCACTTCCATCTGGTTCAAAATCCTGCTCTGAGTTCACTTTCTCAAGGAAGTCTTCCAAGATTACTACCACCCCTCACAAACAGACACCTCCCCACCCCACTCTTCCCCCTACCTCATACCTTCTGTAGTGAATCTGAATACATGGGGGCAGAGGTTGAAGGTCATAGACTTTCGAGCGTTCTTCTGGATTTGATCATTCAACTGTTGGACAAAATCTTGGCAAACGGATGTCACCAAGGGGGCGAACTGACCGGTACTCTTTACGGAGAGCACTTCCTGGTTCAACTTGATGCGGTAATTTAACCATTCTTTCCCATTCCTGGAATTAAGGGTTCAAGGTGATGGTCAGGAATTGAGTACACCTTGCCAGCTTGGGACATTTTGAAAGGAATGCACCCATTGTGGATAATAGACAAAATGAACTTAGAACTCCTGTACAGGAAGGAAAATTCGCTCTGACAGGTTTTACCGAGATTTCATTGTGTGGGATTCTTGGCTGAAATATGACTCTGGAAGGGTACTTTAGTCAAGACTGACTCTTTGTGACCCCATTTGGGGTTTTCTTAGCAAAGATACTAGAAAGGTCTGCTATGTCCTTCTCCAGCTCATTTTATAGGAGGGGAAACTGAGGCAAACTGGGTTAAGTGACTTGCCCAAGGTGACATAGCTAGTAAGTGACTTGCCCAAGGTGACATGGCATAGTCTGAGGCTGGATTTGAACTCAGGAGGTTGATTCTTCCTGACCCCAGGACCGGCACTCTCCATTGTGCCATCTAGCTTCTCTTGAAGAGTATACCTTTGTTAAAAAAAAAAATTAAACGCAGAATAAATAAAGGGGGGAGGAAGGAAGTAGCATGTGTACTAAGCAGATCTACACCTGTGAGGAAATCATGGACTTGAGAGATCAATGGGGGGAATGCAACAGTGAGGCAGTTGTGAGAGCAGGAGCAAGAAGGAGACAAGGAGGCAGGAAGACAGATCCTCATGGCGAGGCTTCATATTATAGTAACTGGGAACTTCAGCTACTTTCATCCACAGTTTCAGCATCACTTTGTGCTTTCTCTCTTTCTCACTGCCAGAAATCAAAGAAGCAGAAAGATTCACAGTTTGTCTTAATCATCGAATCCATCCTTCTGAAGGTGGAGGCAGTGACAAGAGAAATGTCAGTTGGGCATTTGAAGCTGACCAGCAAAGAGAGAGAGTGGCTGAACTCTAACCTAGTCCAGCTGTATCTGGGGTGTTGACTGACAGGTACAAACATTTTAGAAAGTAAAAGGACTGGGTGTGTGGGGTGAAAAAGAGGAGATGGTGAGGGGTTAAATCACATGACACTTGATTGATGTACCTGGGAATGCTTAGCCTGGAGAAGGGAATTCTTTGGGAGGGAACAGTGGGACAGGATAACAGTAACAACAACAGCAACAACATTAATAATAACAATAATAAAGCAGCATTTATTATGTGTCAGGAGCAATGCTAAGCACTTTACAAATATTTTCTCATTTGATCCTCACAGCCCTGGGAGGTAGATGCTATTATTGAACCCATTTGACAGTTGAAGAAACTGAGGCAGACAGAGGACAAGCGACTTGCCCAGGATCACACAGCTAGTAAGTGTCGGAGGCTGGATTTGAACTCCAATCTTGCTGACTCCAGGCCCAGTGCTCTAACTACAGTGCCACCTAGCTCCCAGAAGGTGATAGGTTCCCCTTCATTGGAAGCTTTCAAGTGGAGCTGAACGTCTGCTTTGTAGTGATAATGTAGAGACATTCTTGTTCAATATAGATAAGGGTTGTATTAGATGACTTCTCTTGTCTCTTCCTATCAATCAACCAACTAGATGAAGAACCTACTAGGCGCAAGACACTGGGGATATAAGTATAAGGCAGGTAGGTGAAGCACTGAACTGAGGCATGAGGGCAAATCATGCCTCAAACACATATTCGCTGAATGATGATGGGCAAGACATTGAACTTCTCAGAGCCTCAGTTTCCCTCTCTGCAAAAAGGGGATAATGATAGCCCTCACCTCATAGTGTTGTGTGAAAATTAAATGAGATGATATTTGCAATGTGCTTGGCAAACCTGAAGGGGCTACAGGAATGTCAGGTCTTATTAAGTACAAGGAATCAAAACAACTCTGACATTTGTGAGAATCAGAGAAGTTGATGTCTCAAAGGGGAAAGAAGCTAACTTCAGCCTAAATAATAAATTGATCTTGAGAGACAACCAAATTTTGTTTAGTCTCAGGAAAGGGTTATTCACTTTTGTCCAGCCTCACGGGCCTCACTCAAGGCTCTGCCTTTGGCTCTCTGCCTGGATGTCTCTACATCGCAGGACCTGAGCCCATTTGGTTCCATTGTGACAATTCCCCCCACTGTGGGGTTGATTCCCACATCAGACCAGAGCTCCACATCTACTTCTGGAACAAGTAATATACTTGGACACCTCTTGAAATGTCCAAAAATGAGCTCGCTGTGCCTTCCCTCCGTCTTCTTTCATCCTTGATGGGTTCTCCCGGGGGCGGGTGGGAGGATCACGTCTCTGTCTGAGACAAGGGATTCTCTAGGACAGGACTGTTCCTCTGTGCCCCATTCCAGCTGACAAGTAGGGTAGCCCCTGGCTGTCTCTGTCTGCTCTGGCCTCCCTCCTTCCCTGGGGACCCTGTACTGCTCCCCAGCCCTACCCAGGTACTCACAGCAGGAAGATGCCACGCTTGATCTTACGGATCTGTCTGTGCATCAACCAGGGCAACACCAGATCCCTTCGGGGAACTGCTCCTTCAGCTTTCAGCACCTTCTCCACATCCTGAGGCATCATCACATTCACTGTGCTCATAGTGCCCACCTTGTCCCTGCAGTTTGGGCAAAAGGACCAGGTAGGATCAAGGCTCAGCATTCACCCTGGCCATCCTCCAACTTCCCAGATAGGCAGTACTGGTTTCTCCCCTTCAGCCTGGGGCTTCTTGGAGAGTGGGGACTGTCTTCTCAATGTAGGAATCTCTTGAGGTTGGGGACCACAAAGGGACCTCTAATATGGAGCCCCTGTTGAACTCTTCTCCAACCTTCAAAGTCCAACTCAAATGCTACCCTCTCCAGGAAGGCCTCCCAGATTCAGCCCAGTTAGTAACATACCCCATCCTCCTTTTACCCTTCCTTTTGTTTGCATCTCTCTAAAGCAGGCATAGTGTAATGTTGTATATTAACAGTTTTCTGTGTTTCTTTCTTAACCCCTCCTTCTGGATTCCAAGTTTCATCATAGCAGAGACCACAGTTAGCAAAAGCTTTGTACCCTCCTAGCAGACTGCAAACCCTTAAGAAAAGTTTGTTGAATCACCAAACAAACAATCAACAAGCATTTATTAAGCACTTACTCTGTGCCAGGCACTGAGAGAATGCTTCTCATTTGCTCTGGAATCAAGTAGCAAGGTCATCCTTCTGTCTAACCTAAATTCTTCTCAGTAGAGCTGGAGTTCTCTGATTAGGATCTTGCTAGAAGAGAAATCCAGTGCACTGCCTGACTGCCTACCTGCCTGCAAAAAAGAGCTCTCAAGCTTCCTTTCCAAAGATGTTATTTCAATGTTTTCACCTCCAGCCATGGTGTCTGAACTGTTTTTCCATGGGTGGAATGGGAGACAGTGAGCTACCGACCCTCCCATCCTGTTTTCCTGTGACCCATAGTTCATCTTCATGAGAACCTAGCTGGTCCAGGACTCAGTTTGGGCCCAGTGTTAAGACTCCTATAGATTGGAGATCAGTTGGAGATCAATCTTTATCTAGAATAGGGGCTTACTCTATGACCAGGGTTAGAGTTTATCCATTCTGGGGCCCACAGGAAGAACAGTGATCAGTCAGATTAACTATTACCTGTAGATGGGTCCCAGCTTCTGAAACATCTCCTGGGTCTCTAGATGCATATTCTCGTAGCCATTGTCCATCCATATTCGCAACATCTTGGTCCAGGGGTTATCTTGGCTCTGGGGAATGGCCTCAAAGGGCCTCACAGAACCAGATAAGGGCTCAGACTCCCTGAGGGGCTCCTGGAGAGCCCCTGTCCTCAGTGTCCGGCATCCTCCCAGCCTCCAGAATAGGGTCTGTAGCAGCTGTGACCCTAACTCTGCTCCTTGCTTCATCTCCCACTGTCTGAATCTTGGGCTGTCCCTGAGTCCAAGCCTATTCCATAGGCTGTTTAAAAAGGAGATATCTCTAATTCAAGGTCAAGGCCAGACCTACATCATGAGGACAGGGCCCAGGGCCATGTAGAAACATAAGAGGAAGTAGGGACAATAAAAATAGGGAGGACATCCTATTAGATGACTCAGAAAGAACCTTAAAATCATCATAGGTCCCATTTTTCATAAATCACAACGGGAGTGATTTGCCCTGGGTCATGGAATGAGCAAGTTCTTGACCTGGGATTCATACTCATGTCTCCTGACTCCTAATTCATGGCTCTTTCCATTACATCACTGACTTTCAAAGGATTGTACCAGAGATAAGGAAAAGTCCTAGTGGTTGCCTGTTCCTGTGGATGTACGTGGGTATATTTGTGAGCATGTGTATGTGTTCACATATGCCCATACATGTTTGTGCTTGTGTCTATGTGTGTGCTGCGCATTGGGCACCATTCATGTTTGTAGACACATGGGTGTCTATTACAAAGTCACCAAAGGTGACTTGAAAAAAAAAACCCAAAAGTCTGAGACTCTGAGACTTGCTAGGCTAGAATATTAAAAAGATGTTGGGGAGCAGCTCGGTGGTGCAATGGATAGAGCACTACCTGTTATTGCACAATGTGGCTGTTACTGTGCACAATGTGCTCATTTCACTCAGCATCAGTTCATATAAGTCTTTCCAGGTTTTTCTGAAGTCAGGAGGACCTGAGTTCAAATCTGACCTCAGACCAAACACTTGACACTTACTAGCTGTGTGACCCTGGGCAAGTCACTTAACCCCAATTGCCTAAAATTAAAAGAAAAAATAGATGTTGGGCAGGGTGGAAATGGGAAGGAGCTGGGAGAATGCTTTACCTCACATGGAGCAGCTGTTAGGTGTTTGAACCACTGTGGGGCTGAGAGAAACAGGTGTGATCTGGAGGCTTCAGGGAGAAGCAGGTGCCTGCAATCCCACAGGTATATTATTAGAGAGTACCATCCTGCCTTAGGATTGGTATTGGCGGTTTGGTGTTTGGGAAACTGGCCTTGGAGTAAGGGCCACATAGCTAAAAGGAGTACAAGGAGGAAGAAGAAGAGGTGAAGAAGAAAGAAGAAGAGGAGGAGAGAGAAGAAAAGAGAGGAGAATGAAGATAATGAGAAGGGAAGAAAGAAGAGTAAAAGAGGGAGAAGGAAAGAGGAAAAGGAAAAAAAGAGGTGAAGGAATAAGGGGGAGAAGAAAAGATAGGAAGAGAAGGGAGAAAAGAGGAAAGAAAAAGAAAAAAGAGTTGATGAGTTTATTTTGGTAAGATTGTCAAGTGAGAAAAATGTATTTGAGAATAAGGTGGCCCAGTGGATTGAGCACTGAGCCTTAAGTCGGAAAAACTTGAGTTCAAATCCAGCCTGACATTGTGTGACCCTGGGCAAGTCAGATAACTCTGGTTGCCTCAGTTTCCTCAACTATAAAATGAGCTGGAAAAGGAAAGGGCAAACCACTCCACTATCTTTACCAAGAAACCCAAAATGGAGTCAGGAAGAGTCAGACATGACTGAAACAATTGAACAACACCATATTTGAGTAACATATCTCAAGAGTGAGTTCACAGTGAAGGTGATCTCAGAGGCTGTGTTTGTGCTGGCCACGCCGTGCACTCTCCTCCTATAAGGAGCAGGCTGCCAAGGTCGTACTACTTACCAGTCTTCGGTGCCCACCCAGATAAACACAGAGACGAGCCCGATCAGGAGGTGCAAACACTCGAGCTTTATTCAGAGGCCATCACAGCAAGGCCAAGCAGGAAGGCCAGAGCAAGAGAGCAGGAGTAAGAGAGAGCGAGCTCCAATCCCTACCGTTCCTTAAGTACCTACTTAGCTCATCCTCCTCAGCCCGCCTACTAGTCATTGATTGTAGGATCAGATACCGGAAGGGAATGTCTGGGTTTAAGCGCACCAAGGGAGAGGAAGTGACGCAGCAGGCTAGGACCGGATACAGGAAGGAAGCATCTGGGGTTAGTGCATAGACAAAGGGAGAGCATGTGACACAGGAAGTCAGGCCCAGATACCGGGAGGAGGCGTCTGGGGTCAGTGCTACACAAAGGGAAAGTACGTGACCCAGGAAGTCAGGAAGGAGAGTCTGGGGTTGACGTTGCACCTAGGGAGGGGACTAGACAAAGGGAACTCATTCTCTGCCATCCCACTCCCACGTGGCACAGCCCCCTGCCTCAGGAGCACGTGCTCCGGCTACTTCCTTGTATCCTGTTCCTTCCCCAGCTTATCACAGCTCCACATAGCACTGCCCACTGCCTCGGGAGCGTGAGCTCCGGTTACTTCTCCGTATCCAGTTCCCATCCCAGTTCACCACAACTCTGCCTAGCACAGCCCCTGCCTCGGGAGCGTGAGCTCCTGTTACTTCCTAATATCTTGTTCCTACCCCATCTTGCCACAACCGTCACTTAGCAGTAGCCAACATCAGACAATCCCTCACATGTGTTTAGATAGGTATGAGGGTAAATGAGTTAATGCCTGTCAGGACAAGCCTGGAGTTTGGGAGTCCAGCTTCCCAATGACACAGATGTGAGAAACACCAACCATGATAAGACTGTAACCTGGTCATAGATCTCAGCAGCCCTTTTCCCCTCCATGTAGCCGGTCCCACCAGGTGAGGGTGATGCTGATGAAAACAGTTTAAGATCTAATTCAAGGGGATGCTCATCAACTGGGGGGGGAAATGGCTGAACAAGTTGTGGTATATTAATGTAATAGAATACTATTATGTTATAAGAAATGATGAGCAGGCAGACTTCAGAAAAACCTGGAAAGACTTATGTGAACTGATGATGAGTGAAATGAGCACATTGTGCACAGTAACAGCCACATTGTGCAATAACTGGCTTTGATAGACTTAGCTCTTCTCAGCAATGCAAAGGTCTAAGACAATTCCAAAAGACTCATGACGGAAAACTCTATCCATATCCAGAGGTAGAACTATGGAGTCTGAATGCAAATGGAAGCATACTATTTGCTCTCCTTTTCTTTTGTTGTTTTGTTTTGTTTCTTCTTTCTTGTGATTCCTCCCATGAGTTCTAATTCTTCTATACATCATGACTAATGTGAAAATATGCTCAATGTGAATGTATAAGTAGAGCCTATATCAGATTGCACGCCGTCTTGGGGAGGGGGAAGAGAAGGAGGGGGAGAAAATTTTAAGACTCAAAATCTTATGGAATTGAATGTTGAAAACTAAAAATAAATAAATTATTTTAAAAAAAGGAAAGGAAAAAAATATCTAATTTGCCCCCAATGCCACATTGTCAGGTTCTGGGCTCTCTCTAGCTCAGGGTTTCTTCAACAGGTTTGGTTTCCTGGACATCTTTGATGGTCTGACAAAGCCTCTGAACCCTTTGTCTTTGACTTTGTTTCCAATTCTTTGCCATCACACAAAAAAGTACTACTACAAATATTTTGGTGTGTATGGAGATTTCTTCTTATTAATGGTCTGCATGGAATATAAGCCTAGCAAGGCAATCTCTGGGTCAAATGGTATGGATGTTTCGGTCTCTTTATTTGCATAATTCCACATTGCTTTCTGAAATGATTGTAACTGATTCCTAGCTCCCCCAATTATGCCCTAATGTGTCGATATTCCCACAACTCCTCTAACATAGACCTCTGCCATTTTTTATCCTTCCCAATTTGAAAGGTGTGAGGTAAAATCTCAGGGTTGTTGTGATTTGTATATTTCTTCTTATTAGTGATTTGGAGCATTCTTTCATATGGTTATTAATGCTTTGAAATTCTTCTTTTGAGAATTATTCATTCAGAATATTGACCATTTGACTATTGACCATCATTTTGGCCATTTATCTTTTGGGGCATGGTAGACAGCTAGGTCCATCTAGTAATTGTTTATTTAGTTTGGATACTAAATGCTTACCAGAGAAATTTGATATAAATATTTTTTTTCACATTCCCTCCACTTCCTTTCTTATCCTAGGTACATTAATATTGTCTTGTAGAAGCTTTTCAGTTTCATGTAATCAAAGTTATCTATTTTATCTTTTTCAATTGCCTTTATCCCTTGTTTTCTGAGGAATACATTTCCTACCCATAGATGTGAAAGGTATGTGATCTGCTTCTCTTCTAGTTTCTTCATTATCTGATCTTTAATAATATGGACATGAATCCAATAATATTTTGTGGAATATGGTAACAAAAAATGTATTGGTCTAAGCTTAATTTGTGCTAGACTGCTTTCCAGTTCTCCCAGCAGTTTTCATCAAACAAAGGGTTTTCGAATGTTAAACCACCTTTGTATCCCTACAAATCCCTGTAAATCTAACTTGGTCATGATAAATTATTTCTTTGATGACTCAATGTAATCTGTTTGACAGGATTTTATTTATAATTTTTGAATTGGTATTCATTGATGATATTGGTCCAATTTTTCCCTTAACTGGACTAGGTATTAGAATTATATTTGTCTGATAAAAATATTCTGGTAGTGTGCTTTTTTTCCTCTGTAATTGATAATAAGTTGTGTACTAATTGGGTATTAATTTGTTTACTAAGTGGATGCTAAATGTTCTTTCAAAGTTTGGTGTAATTCTACTGAATCCATCAAGATCGGGTGTTTTCCCCGCTTCGGTTATTCCTTCCATATAGTTCTACTTCCCTTTCTGAGACCCAATTATTTAATGTCACTATTTGGTCTTCTGTCAGTTTGAGTATTTTAAATGTTTGAAGGTTTTCCTCTATTTCCTTTGTGTTCTCAATTTTGTTAGCACATAACTGGACACAATATGTTCTGATTATTCTTTTTCTACCTTCTGGTTTTGTTTTGATTTCACCTCACTCATTTACTATTCTGCAGTTGACAACATTCTGTTCTTTCGCTTCAAATTGGGTCCAGGTTTATCATTTTTTATTAGTTGTTTTTAAAGAACTAACTTTGAACTGTATGTATCATTTCTTTAGTGATTTTTTTGGTTTTCAGTTTATTTTTCCTTCAATTGTTAAGATCTTTTGCACTTATTTTAGGTTTGTTTCTTTGTTGTCTTGGGCAGCTAGGTGACACAGTGACCAGAATGCCAGGCCTGGAGTCAGGAAGAGTC